AAGCCCCAGCCGCGCACCTACAAGCAGAAACGGCGTGTTCTACAGTATGTGTACAGGGCATCTTTCTGCGAGTGATGACAGATCATCGCTGTAAACACGCCAGTTACACTGATGCGCTCGACAGCGCGTCAGACTCCATCGCAAACCGCCACAAACTCAATTGTGCGCCCCAGAAAACACGGTACAATCGCCTCCGATTCATATCTCGAGCACCACTTAACCTCGAAAACCAGACGGCGCCAATTGCGCTAGAGTTGGCCACTGTGCACCGGCGGGCGTTGAACAATGTGCCTTTTGCAGCAGTTGACAGTCTCTTCCAGTCACAAATACCGCAAAACGTCTGTAACGAGCCACCCGTGCACCGCCAAATTATCACGATTAACGGAATCGGCCAGAGAGGACACCGAGTCTGCTCTCAGAATCGTGAGTCGTGCCAGATCTATGATTATCACTCACGGTGACAGAGCTTCATAATCTGCGGCGTTCTTTGCTCTTCCCACGGTTTGGAAATAATCTCGCCGACATCAAACTCAAGCTATCTTGGAGCACAGAATCAGGTCAGCCTCAATCAAACGGCGGTCTCTGATGTTTGCACTGGAGTTGTTTAGGAGGCACTTTTAGTCCGAGGAAATGGATGAGAACAGGAACGTTTACCCAATGAAAGCGACCCGTCACGTGAAGCCCTGCCAGTCGCTCCCGCAATAGCGCGGCAGAAAGTCAGCAACTGCCATCAAATGTCTTCAACAAACAGTGGAGTCGTGCAAAACTGAAAACGGACTAGTCCGTTCGGTAGTTTTTACCTAGCCGCTACATTGAGACTAAATATAAAGGCTAAAACATAATAAATACGGCAACCGTCATACAAATATGGGCACAAATCTACAGCTAATCTTCCGTTTAGTGATAAGGACCTTATACTGACGTATTATCTCGTTGGCAGTCGTGACTCTATAACACCCGCCTGCACCCAGCCTCACATGTGCCTTCGCCACCTATGCTCCCATGTCAGGGTTCCATTAGGCCCAGACCGCCCACGATTCGCCCTACACCCTCTGAGATCCTATACCGCACCGTGGCCGGCGGCGGTCGACGTGGGCGACCACAGCCCCACCTCCCAGCTCACAACACGAGCGCGAACATAGTCAGACAGCTGCTGCAGAGCACAGGCCGACCACAGCCCCACCTTCCAGCTAACAACACGAGCGCGAAAACAGCCCGACTACTGCTGCAGGGTATAGGCCCACCACAGTCCAACCTCCCAGCTAACAACACGAGCGCGAATATAATCAGACAGCTTCTGCAGGGCACAGGCCGACCACAGTCCCAACTCACAGCTGGGGCGTTCCACGACAAATCGACAAGTGCCCTGCACCCTCATATTTTATTTTTTGCTTAGAATTGGTTTAATGGGTTGTGATGGGCGGGGAAGCAAGCTGTGGCAAGGATTTTTTCTTCGAACAACTGTTTCCGAGATATAGCCTCGGGCAATTTCTGGATTTCGCGCTGCAGCCCTATGTTTGGCGGCCTATAACTCAGAAACTATTGGTTTCTTACGATAAAAACTTTATATGGTTCAACTCACAATCAACCAACAAACATTTTGGCTATCTCGGATTTTCAATTTTTGAAAATTTTGATCACGTGACCTTTTTTCCTATTTTTCGAAGAGTGACCTTGATATTTTCCCCACTGAAAGTTGCAATTTTGTCTGATGACGATTAAAGCCTTATCGATTGTCATTCATATGCGATAATAAAAAAGTGGTTATCGCCCTGCGTTGACCTCAGGTCAGGTCATTTTTATGACCTGTCCATTATTACGAGCGGGAGCGACAGCGAGATCTCGAGAATAAAGCAAGATAGCGACAAGCGGTAAACGGTAAAGGGTACACACGGATAAGGTCTATAATTTTTACTGAGGTCATTTTCAGGTCAGTTCAAAGATGACGTCACAGGAGCTAAAAGGAAGTCAAAATAGCGGCACTATACATATATATGAAGTTTTTCTCGAATAACTTTCAAGGTATCCCAGCTAGGAACAAACTAATAGCACCATCGTGATCCTCTGGTCGATCCGCATCGAAACATATGTTTGTTGACCTCGAAAGGTCGAAAGGTCAAAAGTTGACATTAGGTCACGTGATCTAAGGTCAACTTTTGACCTTTCGACCTTTCGAGGTCAACATACATATGTTTCGATGCGGATCGACGAGAGGATCACGATGGTGCCATTAGTTTGTTCCTAGCTGGGATACCTTGAAAGTTATTTGAGAAAAACTTCATATATATGCATAGTGCCGCTATTTTGACTTCCTTTTAGCTCCTGTGACGTCATCTTTGACCTGACCTGAAAATGACCTTAGTAAAAATTATAGACCTTATCCGTGTGTACCCTTTACCGTTTACCGCTTGTCGCTATCTTGCTTTATTCTCGAGATCTCGCTGTCGCTCCCGCTCGTAATAATGGACAGGTCATAAAAATGACCTGACCTGAGGTCAACGCAGGGCGATAACCACTTTTTTATTATCGCATATGAATGACAATTGATAAGGCTTTAATCGTCATCAGACAAAATTGCAACTTTCAGTGGGGAAAATATCAAGGTCACTCTTTGAAAAATAGGACAAAAGGTCACGTGATCAAAATTTTCAAAAATTGAAAATCTGAGATAGCCAAAATGTTTGTTGGTTGATTGTGAGTTGAACCATATTAAGTTTTTATCGTAAAAAAACGATAGTTTCTGAGTTATAGGCCGCCAAACATAGGGCTCCAGCGCGAAATCCAGAAATTGCCCGAGGCTATATCTCGGAAACAGTTGTTCGAAGAAAAAAATCCTTGCCACAGCTGGCTTCCCCGCCCATCACAACCCCTTACACCAGTTTTCAACGAAGAATAAAATATGAGGGTGCAAATTTAATTTTTTATTTGTCGATTTGTCGTGGAACGCCCCAGCTAACAACCGTGTGTCCCAGAGCCTTCGGACCAACAATGGTACAGGTCGACCTACTAGCCCGACCACACCTCTTACCCCAGCTTACACGACTCACGAGCGCGAAAACACACCGACAGCCACAAGGTTCGGGTCGACTACAGTCTCACCTCCTGGCTAACAGTTCACGAGCGCGAAAACAGCCTGACGGTCGCAAGGTTCAGGTCGACCTGTGATGTGACCAACCACAGCCCCGTGCAAGCCATGTGCAAGAGATCCTCCCTGACCTCTCCTAGGCCAGGGGATGGGAACAGAGCACGGGCTTCCCTACACGAAAGACCTGTGAATGGTAGACAGGTGGTGGCCCGCCCCTTGGCTGTGACCCGGGTGAAAGATCCCCTCTTTCCCCACGCCAGCGCTGCCGGTGCCGCTAATCCTGTTGCAATTGCGGTGTTACCCACGTCTCGATTGCGAGAGTTACGAACTCTTGAGGTCAAAGCCGGGTCAAAGGTCAGAGAACAGCACTGGGTCAGGGTGGTACTGCGGTCAGACTGGCTTCGGAGGGGTCATGCCGGTGAACAAGTCGAGCTAGACAGGAAAGAGTCAGACCGAATCAGGAGTCAGACTGATTGAGGGCGAGTCAAACTGAATGACGAGTCAGACTGAACATGCGGAACCATGTTGCATGACAACCCAGACTGAATGACAAGCCAGACTGAAAAACAACCTAGACCGAACGACAAATTAGACTCAATGGGTCAGACAGGAAGCAGACTGGCTGAGCCGGAAAATCCGCTATTTTGGGTTCCGTAATAACCACCGATTTAATTAGGGAAGCTATCGTTATTAGCCCACGGTGGGCCGACGCTCACAGAACCAAGGTGATCACTTGCCTGGAAGCACACTTGATTAACGGTAGGTACAGTATTTGATTAGGTCACCAGACCTAAACGCACTGCAATCAATACCTTTCGAGGCCGTAGCCCCAACAATGCCGCGCCAGCACACAATCGTGAGTGACGCCGGCGAGAATTGGATTCTCACCCCCTTCAAGTCGCAGCAGTGAACACCGAAGAGTATGCATCCTCCCACTAAATTTTCCCTGACCAGTGATCACAGTGAACGCGAGCCGCGAAGCGAAACATTGCACTGCTAAACGATAGTGAGGTATATAGTATACACTACATATGATACGATACACAAAGGCGACACATCCCGTAGCGTCAGAAGAATCCACGTGACCCTCCGTATCTGCACCGGTATCCGTATCCACTCCAGTACCTATCCGTATCCACTCCACTGCGGTAACTGTATCCGAATCCTGACCCGGATCCGCGCCGGCGGGACAGCGGTCCGGGGGTCTGATTGCATTTCACCTCTAATTGACGCCACTCACGGCGCCAACAAAGGTCACCGCAGTCGGATGGTTGCTTCGATTAGTTCACCGCCGCCGCCGGGTCACGTGCGAGGAGGGGAGGGGAGGGGAGAGGAGGGGAGGGGAGGGGGAGGGGGCAGGTGTCGGGTGCACATGGGTGGCACGACGGTCGCGCCACGGTGCCAAAGCTCGACAGCGCGAGTGGACCAATCCCTACCAGGTACGGGAAGAGACGGACTTGAGTCGGAGGTTGTGAGGCGCAAGAGGTGCGATGAGGCGCCCCTTGACTTTTCAAAACGCCCCCTTCAAAAGGATGCTTTCAGAGGTTAATGAGGTAAATAAACGTCGCTTTTAGGATAACTGTTCGGTTCAGTTTCATGGCCAAGCTAGATCAAGCTGTATCTCTGGCTGCATAAGCATAGGTAGGTATACAGCAAATAAAATATGAACGAAAAAGGTTGATGGTTTCCCATTTCATATCGAATTTCTAGCCACCTTCGCTCTAACACGATCGATGAGGAAACTATGGAGCGATATTACCAGTGTCCCAACAACCGTCAACTCGCACCCGGACATCAAACCGGATAAACCATCAACAAACCTGACGTCACTACTCACTACAGAACGCCCCGATGCAATGACACACCGAAAACGTCAGTCTATCGCTCCGAATGCCAAATACAGCTGCCCACTCACCGTGTCTACTGATTCCAATGCACCGATTCCGCCGTTCACTCTACAACACACAGCTCCACGGTCGAATGCCCCTGTTGGTCCCTTACTGTCACACTTTGATAACGAGTCTCTTGTTGGCTTACTGCCACGTCTTTGGTAAGATAGTTCGGTCCCTCCCTCACTGATTCGCCGTCTTTCACTGGAGTATTCAGTCACACGCCACTGCTTTCATCGCTGGCTCACTCAGATTTGTGCTTGTTCACTCAGTGTCTCGTCACTGCTCCTCTCACCAGTTCGCTCAGTAGCTCACCACCAGTTACGTCCTTCACACTATTACTCGTCCCCAGTCGCCAGCACTCCCATCTCTTACCTACGCAATCTGTCCGCCATTCAATAACACGTCCCACCTCTGCACACGGCTCGGCACGCTCCACCTGCTGGCCGGCGCTCTCAGCGCTCGCCCGGCCGGCTCCGGGACCCGACTGACCGCCGCCCGAGCCGCCGCCGCCGAGCGGCCAGCACGGCGCACGGCACGGCGCACGGCCGGCCGGGGCGCCGCGCCACGCCGGCCGTGCTCGCCGGGCGCCGCGCCGGTCGGCAGACGGACGGTCAGACGGCGGGCGGCCACGCAGCCAGTAGGCAGGGAGGGACGTTACAGCGTAGTTGAACACACACTGCAAAGGGATTCCTTGCGTTCCAGCACTGAACCGCACTTACGCAAATTTCCGCCATTCGCATTCAACCCGCTAGCAAAACGTAACACAAAATACAAGGTCGTCACGTCACGCTCTCAGCAACGTTTCAAGGCGTTGGACAAAACGTCATCGTGCGTCTGCAATGCTGACATAGCCCACGATGCGCCAATTCTCAATTTGGCACCGACAACCCTAGCGGGAGGGGGGGGGCGTCATCGCGTCATCACAGGTGCACACAGCCGCTGGGCACAGCTGACACCAGGTCCGGTCGCCAGGTGAGGCTCTGGGACCGGCGGAGAGAGAGGGGGAGGGGAGAGAGCGGGCAGAAGGGTTCGTGCGGAGACTGTCGGCTCGGAAGTGAGGCTTCCGGAACAGACAGGCCGGTGGTAGAGGTCGTGACCTCGGCGCTGACCTGAGCCTTGGCAACACCGACATCTATCGACCGAGGACAGCGGAGGGTGTTCGAAGCCAAACGGTGGGTCGGGCCGCTCAGCTGCCGCCAAAACAAGTGTGGTGATTAAAAAAAAAAAACAGTGGATAATCGGTAAGCATGGGTCGAGAAAAAAGAAGGAAATCGAATTGTAGAACAATGAGCGGTAATAAAAACGAACAGGAAACGATTAACAAAAATGTCAAGGGAAATAAATAAGGAAAATTGTGTTGACCACCATTTGAAAGGCGTATAGAATTACTTCAGATCGCAACCACAATGTCGGTGGTTGCCCCCCCCCCCCCCCCCACCCTCCTCAGTACTCGTCAGAACCAGCCAGCGTTCCCACCAAATGAAAATGCTTGAAAAATAAAACTATTGAGTTTCAAGCGTCATCAATCAATGGCAACGTTGCTGAATCTTTTAAAATGAATAAAATATAATGTAACACTGACATTTATTGAAATGCTAAAAAACGGAACACCATCAATCAATGCTCTAATAACATTACTAAATAATTAACCAAATAACCGGAGCTAAAATCGACAAAACCGCCGCCTTACCTAACCATCGTCGGTGTTTAGCACAGGCCCACAATCACACACCGCCAAGTCGATAGACGCGAATGTTGCGCTTCACAGAGTTAAGATCTGTGGCCCTTGTTATTAACCTCGCCACTGCTGATCTCGTCACCGCTAGCCAGCGCGCCTCCCAATATCTCGAACCAACAGAGATCGATCCGGGCCGCCTCTCCGAACTGTGTCGGCGGCCGGTGATAGCTACGATCTACTATCACCCGTGATAGCAAACTCAGCGAACACAGAGGGACTCGGGGGGACTTCCCGACTCGGCTCAGCGCCCCATCCCGGACACACCGCCTCGCTACGGCGTCATATCCTCGCCCGGGCGCTTCCTCCAGGCAACGCGAGGCGCGCTAGTCCAGGTAAAACAGGCCCTCCGCCCGGCACAACACGTAATAACAGTCGCTTGCATAAGCTGCTGATAGACGGGAAGTCTCACGCCAGACGGATGTACACAACCGGACAGAAGACACACCACTCGTGGCGGTTGCTCACCTGTCCGTCATCCGTTTCCTCGAAACCTGCCTCATATATCCTCTTCGCCACTGAGCCACGGGATTCTCCACTCGTCTCTCCACTAATCCCTCTGCCTCTCACAACTCCCGCTCCTATCCTCACACCGTCCACTCCACACCCGGAGGAGGACAGGTCCGTCCGCCGCCCGCCGGCCGGACGCGCAGTTTCCGTTCTCACGCTGACCGGTCCCAGTCGGTATCGATGCACCACCGATAACGACGGTTAACGGTGCGTCCCATCGGTGCGGATCCGCTCGCCGGAAGTGCCCGGAAAAAGGCGACTCGCCGGTCCCGGAGTCGCCGCTCGCGCGGCCACGAAGAGGCGTATCTGGTCGCGACGGTCATGCAACCGTTTCCTCAAGGTGTGCGCGGTGCATTAGGAGTGTCCAGTGTCCACTGTTCAGTCTAAATTATCAGATATAGATGCATGCAACAAAGCTTCACTGCCTTTCCCATGGTAGTCTCTCTTCGACCTATAATGCGATTTAAATTAAGAAATAACCGTTACCTACTACAATGATTTTAATTTTAATTTAACTTATTTTTCATCTTCAGTCACCTGGGCCCAATCTCACCAAGTGCGGTAAACTCATTTTGCGGTAACCTACCCCAAAACGAATCTCACCACTGCCGTAATTTTTTATGTTACCGCATCGAAATAACCCCATGGGATAGCTTCGGTTTTACTGCAAATTCTTCATGTGCACAGCTGCTCACGGCCCGAAAGCAAGTAAACAAACCAAACAATCAGCTGATTGCCCCCACATGTCGGACAAAAATTACTGCAGACATTTGTGCCGTAATCTCTAAATTTTATACTAATTGTGAGCAAGAATTAACCATTAAAGATGTAATAAGAACTTTATAAGAAAGAAAAGAAATAAGTTTCTTTTTTAAGATTATTTTTATTGCAGCCTGCGCCACCTATGCTTCCTATTTGCAGTATCCAAAACAGCATGTAGATGTCGCCCGTGAGTCTTGGAAACTGAGGTGCCGCTTGGAAAGAAGAAACACGCTATCGTTGCCATGGCGACAAAACAATTGCGTTCTTTATATGGCGCCGGCGTGATTAGCAGCTTTTCTACCAATCCGAAGCGTCGACAAATGGGGTTCTTTTGCAGGATTTGCACAAAATGCGGTAAATTACAGCATGGGGTCGTTTTGGTTGGTGAGATTGGATTATTTGCTTGGGGTTATTTCGGTGGGGTAACTTACCGCTACCCCAAACAAGTTTACCGCACTTGGTGAGATTGGGCCCAGGACTGCTTCTGTGTTCGGCACCAGATGAAAAACAATTTCCCAACACAACGAACTTTTAGAAAATTAATTATCACCCTAAGATCATCGAAAGACCTTTTCAAATGAGGTATAGGCCAAGGAATGAATATGAACGGACTTCAAAAATTCATACAATAAACAATTAATTTGTGCAGACTGCACATGTCGATAGCCATATCGGCTGGGTAGACAGACGGCAGACTCCGTACGATCGGCCCGGTGGACTCCGCTGTATACTGCCGGCGGCTTCTGCTCTGTCCCTGCCCTGATGACTCCGCTCCAATAGCCCGGCAGAGTCCGCACCACCCAGCCGGCGGACCCTGTTGTCCTGCCGACTCGGCGATGTCTCCGCCTTGGCAGCGACTCAGCAGTTCTGGCTCCGTACCTGCTAGTGATGCAAAACACATCACCAACCCTATTGATGTCAAGTAGAGGTCAGTGGTATTGATCATCAACAAGCACCAGGAATGGCGCACCAGTTCTGCCTCGTCATAAAATCTGTCCAGGCGAGTCTTATATGGATCAACAATCACATGCTTATGGGCGACATCGATCCATCCGTGTCGGATTGTGAGAACAGGACCGGGCGACCCCCTGACCTCGTGTTTGCATCTCTGACACCCGTCCGCGGGGTCCAAAATCAGCCTATCTGGCATAAGCTATGAACGACATCATGACTTGCGTCCTATTGTCAATTCAGAGGCTGGCACAGCTTCGCTACAGCTGAAGACGCTACTTGAAGCAAGGGCCATAAGCGTCCAAGGACAAAACGCCACTTCCCACGGGGCTATCTCCCAAAGGGATATATCACAGGGATAAGAAGCGGATATAAATGACAACAATCTGAGATAAAAACTGTCCCGGACTCAACAGCTCAAAGGCAGTTTGAAGCAGTGCTTTTTCAACTCGCTACACCACCGTCGTCCCTGCTAACCTACGTGATTGGACACCGCCGAGTCGGCTACAACGAGCTTCCAAAACCAGTCAGTCACTCATAAACCCGACAAAAATCCCTTCCCACCAGAGCCGGCCGGCCAAATGGACCACATATCGGCACTAATCTGGGCGCCGAACAATCTCACCACCCGAGACCGGCTGTGCCAACGCGATAGGTGAGCAGCTCGGCACCGACCGGCAAAATACTGCGAACATGGCGCGTTAGAACCACTGAAATCAAATAAAACTGCCGAGATAGAGTGAGCTAGTACTGCAGGCACAATCACAGGGTGTTAGCAGCCATGGGCCACCGCGCTTAATGGTACATATATAACCTTCAGAATCACATGTGCAACAAAACTCTAGCCTGCTAGCTTGGTCAGTCTTGTGTTACGTATTGACTAGTGGTGTCAATCGGTCACCGAAAATTTCGGTTACCGAAAAGATATGCTGACCGATTTGGTAATCGGTCGGTCAGGCCCCCCAAAAATCGGACACTTTCGGTCACCCTGCCAGTGAAACCATTTTCAATAAGAGAAAGTATTCCATTTTTGCCTAGTAAAAATGAAATTTATTGGGATGTTAATGATAGAGTTGCAAAATTTTCCCCAAATGCCAAATGCCACATTTTGGCAACTTCATTAGCCATCCCACCCAGCAGGCAGCAGCCACCCATCACCATTGTCCAACCACAACTACAAGCAGGCTGATTTTGACTCAGTTGGCCCCACAAGCTCACACAATTTTGAAACTCTATTCCACAGGGCATATTTTAAGGCACTTACTGCGTCCCATTTTGGGACGCAGCCCCCTTGCCTTGGGACGTAGCCCCTGCTAATTTGACCCACTGCGTCCCTGCCCTGTCCGGTTCCCCGACCTGTGCCCTGCTGTCTGCCCTGACCTGTACCCGGCCTTCCCTCTAAAATGTCCTGTGTCATGCCCTGCAGCCTGCCGTGCCCTACTTTCTGCCCTCCTCAGTGTCCCACTCTGTTCCTTGCCCTGTGCCCTTAGTCGTAGCCAGGGGGGTACGCTCCGGCTGTTTAGCATTACAAA